GCTTGAGCCCAGGAGTTGGAGATAGCTGTGAGCAGTGAAGCCATGGCACTCTACCCAGGGGGACAGCTTGACGCTCTGTCAAAAAAAAAAAAAAAAAAAAAAGATAGGCTTTTTAAGTATGTAAAGAAGTTCAATCATAGGGCAGCGCCTGTGGCTCAGTGAGTAGGGTGCCAGCCCCATATACCGAGGGTGGCGGGTTCAAACCCAGCCCCGGCCAAACTGCAACAAAAAATAGCCAGGCGTTGTGTTGGGAGCCTGTAGTCCCAGCTCGGGAGGCGGAGGCAAGAGAATCAATCACCCAAGCCCAAGAGCTGAAGGTTGCTATGAGCTGTGACGCCACGGCACTCTACCAAGGGTGATAAAGTAAAACTCTGTCTCTTAAAAAAAAAAACAAACTTTAATCATAAATTTAAGCCTCTTTCATGAGTGACAGACATAAGAGTCAAATCTTTGAATTCTAAGTACATGATAAAAGTAATGATAATTATAATGTTAATCATAACATCTAGAGAAGAGATCTACATTGAATCACAAAACAGACTAAAGTGAATGTTTACTTACTTTGATCTCCTTTTTAGTACAGTTTAACTAATGTCAGCACAGTTTTCTCCAGTACGTTATAAAAATGAAATTAGAAAGGGGAAATAACTGAAGGGAGAACTCCTCTGACCCTTTCTAATAAGACCTATGTGATAAATGAACCTATAAATTAAAAAAACTTACTACAAGTATAAAGAAATGTTTCATAAGCATGTCAAGAGATAAGACTCAGATATTCCTAGATCATCCTAAAATGTGTGTAAATCCTAAGATAATGTGTAAAACCAGAAAACAACCCTTTCTCCAACTTCCATATAAAGGGATTATGTATACATAAATTATACACTGTAAATTATATTTTTCTTCATTTAGATAAGAACTTTATTATAGGCAATTCTGAGTAAATTTTGAAATACTGAAGTATTTATCACTTTTAAATTCTGTAATGGATAATATATTTAACTATAAGAAGAAAAATACTAGAGTACAATATTTTAAAAGAAATATAAAGCAAACAGATGATGAAGTATAAAAGTGGACATTTTAAAAGATTTTACCCGCATCATTTCATTCTCTAATTGTTTTTTACGATGTAGACGTTGTTGATGAGATTTGAGTACGTTTTCTACGTGTTGCTCCATAAAGAATTTAAATGCCTGAGGGGAATAACTTTGAATACGGGATTCTCTTCGCTCTTCATCTTTCTTGTTTTTCCTCACAGTGATAGGTGAAGTTGTAATCTGTTTCTTTTCTTTGTCCCCACTGTCAACATTTTCATAATTTTTTTCACCCTCATCATCTTTGGCCAAGCTAGGCTGATCCTCTTTGCTAGATTTATTTACTGATTCATATGGTGCAACAGACGGGTTCTGGTGTAGGAGATGTTTTGGATAAGGTGGTGGTGGACCTTGATAGTTTGGAGCTTCAGCAACAGGTGGTATGACAGTCACATTTGAATTGGTACCCTCAGGAAAAGGACTGGGTTGAACAGTTTGAGTTGGTTGTGGTATCCAAGAAGGGTGGGTAGGTGCCAACGCAGTCTGTAGCTCTGGTTTTAAAACACGCATGCTTTTCACAGGTTGTTGAATAGGAGCTGGTGTGATTGCAGTGACAGTTGTAGCTGAAGGCTGAGAATTAGCAGAGTGATTTGTTCTACTTCCTAACGGGTTATTAAAAGAATTTGACCTCACTGGTATGTTAGATTGCCATGTAGGGATTTCATGCCCACTGCTCGGGGATGACTGGGCTGGAGCAGAAGATGACTGTGGCCAATTTGTTGGCAGTCCAGGTACATTAATGTTATACAGTTCCATGTTATGACTATTTCTGTTTGGCACCATCATAGACTGAGGAACATTTCCATTTGTATATGATGAAGGAGCAGCAGATCCCCCTGTTTGTAGAGCAGAAGGGCTTTGTCCATTAGTTGGGGTCAGAGGATATGGTGGGGGTGGCTGCCGATTCACAGTGCCAGCAGGGACAACATTTTGATGTATCATAAACTCAGTTTGACCATTACCATTCTGAATTCCAGATCTCCCTGGTGGAAAGTTAAACTTGCTAGAACTCTGCATGATGATTGGTTGTCTGCCAACAGGAACAGAATTGATTCCTCTCTGTCCTTGATTAGGAGGATTCATGGGTGAAGTGTTAAGAGGTGGTGGAGGATAGCCTTCCTGCCATGCCCCAGGTGGAACAGGAGAGATTCGGGAGATTACATATTCCATATTCCCAGAATAGCGTTTTGTTTGAGAGTTTGGTTCCCATGAAGGGGGAGGTGGAGTTGTGCCTCTTGGAGGGGGAGTCTGGCCCCTTGGAGGTGGTGGAGGAGTGACACTCCTTACTTGAGGTGGTGGTGGTGGGTTTACTCTCTGTCCATTGCTAGGATGAGGCTGAGCAAATGCCGTTATACCAGATCCAGACAAAGGTCTTCCTACGTCTGTTTGCGAGTTGGGACTTTCAGAATGATAGGCCACGCTTTCTCCTAGTGGTGGGCCATGTCTCTGAGGAACTAAGGATTCTTTAGAACCTTTCCAGCTTTGTTTGCGGTTAACTGATTGTTGTACACTCCCTACATTTATAAAAGAGAAAAAAAAAAACATGTTTTTAATCTCTTTGTTTTTGAAAAATTTAGCTTAGAATTCTGAAACTACTAAATAATGCTCAATTCTCTTACAAGAATCATAAAAATATGGCCAAGCACAATAGCTCATGCCTGTAATCCTAGTACTGTGGAAGTAGGTGGAGTTCAAGCTCAGGAGCTGGAGTCCAGCCTAAGCAAGAGTGAGACCTCATCGCTACTAAAAATAAAAATATTAGCAGGCCATTGTGGAGGGCACCTGTAGTCCCAGTTACTTGGGAGGCTTAGGTAGGAGGACTGCTTGAACCCAGGAGTTGGAGGTTGCTGTGAGTTAGGCTGAGGCCACGGCACTGTAGCCTGGGCAACAGACTAAGACTCTATCTCAAAAAAAAAAAAAAAAAAAAAAATCACCATGGTTTGTCATTGTATGAAAGTATTTATTTAATCAGTTCCTCTACTGATAAAACATTTAGGGTGTTTTCAGACTATTAGTTTACAAACACAAAATAAGCAGCAATGAAAAATTTTGTACAGATATACTTTCATATATATGCAAAGTGAATCTATAGACAAATTATTAGAGGTGGTATCATCGAGCCAAAGCATGTGTTCATTTGTAATTTTTATAGATACAATACTAATTTTAAAATTAAAAAAAAATTTTTTTTTTTGAGACAGAGCCTCAAGCTGTCCCCCTGGGTAGAGTGCTGTGGAATCACAGCTCACAGCAACCTCTAACTCCTGGGCTCAAGCGAGTCTCCTGCCTCTGCCTCCCAAGTAGCTGGGACCACAGGCATCTGTCACAACGCCTGGCTATTTTTTGGTTGCAGCCATCATTGTTGTTTGGCAGGCCCTGGCTGGATTTGAACCCACCATCTTAGGTGTATGTGGCTGGCGCCTTAGCCACTTGAGCCAGAGGTGCTGAGCCTAAAATAAATTTTAATATGGCTTTTTTCTTTTTTTGAGACAGAGTCTCAAGCTGTCACCATGGGTAGAGTACCGTGAAGTCACAGCAACCTCCAACTCTTGGGCTTAAGCAATTCTCTTGCCTCAGCCTCCCAAAAAGCTGGGACTATAGGCACCCACAACGCCTGGCTATTTTTTGTTGCAGTTATCATGGTTGTGTTTTAGCTGCCCTGGGCTGGGTTCAAACCCACCAGCTCTGGTGTATGTGGCTGGCACCCTACCCACTGAGCTATGGGCCTCACCTTAATATGGCTTTTAAAATAGAAAAAGATCTAATAGGTAATAATTGGCTGAATGCTAAATAAGATACAGATTTCACAGTGTCCATCTTTAACAAATTTCCAAATAACTAAAATCAGCAAGAATATCCAATATCAAAAAAATAAAGTATTCAAGATAGAATAGTCTTGCCACTTAGGAAAAATATAGGATACATTTTAAAAATACACGGTATAAAAGACTATGCAAATATACATGTCCAGAAGGACTAAAAGATTTCAAAATTAAAGATGAAACCATATAATCACTAAAAAAAAGTGAAAATTGAATAATACTGGGGTAACTTTTAGGAATGTCTTCCCCAGCACGACAAAGGTAGAGATCTAAATACATAAAACATATATCACTATTTTTTATTTCTTTTTTTGAGACAGAGCCTGAAGCTGTCACCCTGGGTAAAGTGCTGTGGTGTCACAGCTCACAGCAACCTCCAACTCCTGGGCTGAAGCAATTCTCTTGCCTCAGCCTCCCAAGTAGCTGGGACTACAGGCGCCCGCCACAATGCCCGGCTATTTTTTGGTTGTAGTTGTCATTGTTGTTTGGCAGACCCAGGCTGGATTCAAACCTGCTAGCTCTGGTGTATGTGGTTGATGCCTTAGCTGCTTGAGCTACAGGCGCTGAGCCATGGATCACTATTAAAACCAAAACAAAGTAAGAAACACCCATAAATTTGAAGGGTCAACATCATCCTAGCCAAAAGTATATTTAATAATAAATATGAGAAAAAAGTGGTTAATGTTAAAAATGTACATTTTAACATACTCCTTTTCTTCTGGGGAGCACTTGGGGGTCTGTGACTTCAGGGAAAATCATCATTCTGGGCAAGTCGGGCAAGTCAGACAAGTCCTCTGGCCACCAGCCCAGTCTCATGTTCTTCAGATGGCCAGCTAACACGAAACATCCCATGTCACCCACCCAGCTTTTATAGTATAAGCCCATCCCTGCTGTGCTGCCCCTTATCAAAAGCGCTTCACGTCTCTCATTTCCCAAACCTTTCCACTATCCTCTCTAGATCAGCGTTGTTATGCAACCAGCAAATGCTTCTGTATTATCAACCTCTGCTCCAAGCCTTCTTGTCACCTCCTAAAGGCTGATTTACTTCTGCTGGTATTATTTTCCTTTCAGCCCTTTGAAATTAAAGTTTTCTTTAAAACTAAACTGAGCCAAAAGATGGAGTTCCACTATTTATGCTTATTCCTCTGAAAAAGCCAGCTCCTTGAAGTTCATGCCATCTAGAAGGTCACACTCAGTTCTACTTGCCCTTTCTCATTCTCCTGCAACTTTGGCATTTGGTCTCCTCTAAATCCTGCCATTGTCTTGTGACCTCAACATCCACGTGGATGAACCGTCCACTGCCCTCAGCTCTTAAGATTCTTGACCTCTCTGCTTCCTCAAATATCACTCCGAGGATCATATTTAAAATTTTGATATCACCCATATCTGCTCTTCTTTCAGAATCATTAAGGCTTAAACTCTCAGACACAACTTCCTTTCCTATACTTTCGTTTATTCCTACGGCAAAAGTTCTCCAACCTCATCAAGATCTCCAAGATTACTTCCCTACCTCATTAGTCCTCCTCTTTCTCTATGACACACTCTGTCCAGTTTAAATCCATGCTCTACCATGCTTTCTTCCCTTCATATTCCTTTTCTCCTCTCCTTTTTTCTATTCATCATAACACATGTATTGAGCATTTACTATATGCCAAGTACTGCTCTAAGCAACCCAAGTACACTGGTGAACTACTGAACATCCCAGGCTCCATGTAACCTACACTCTTGGGGGAGGAGCAAGACAAAAAGTAACTTCAGCATGTGATGAATGCTTTATGAATGAAACATAAATGGTGTCAAAAGACAGATTAGAGGGCGGCGCCTGTGGCTCAGTGGGTAGGGTGCTGGCCCCATATACCGAGGGTGGCAGGTTCAAACCCGGCCCTAGCCAAACTGCAATAAAAAAATAGCCAGGTGTTGTGGCGGACACCTTGTAGTCCCAGCTACTTGGGAGGCTGAGGCAAAAGAACTGCCTAAGCCCAGGAGTTGGAGGTTGCTTTGAGCTGTGTGACGCCATAGCACTCTACAGAGGGTGACAAAATGAGACTCTGTCTCTACCAAAAAAAAAAAAAAAAAAGACAGATTAGAGCAAGCCCTCAAACTTTTTAAACTAGGGGCCAGTTCACTGTCCCTCAGACCATTGGAGGGCCGGACTGCGGGCCGTGGGATGAGTCGGCTGCTAAGCAGGACAGGCAGTGGTGGCAAAAACACCTGGCGGGCCAGATAAATGTCCTGGCAGGCTGCATGTGGCTTGTGGGCTGTAGTTTGAGGACACCTGGATTAGAGTAATAGGAGGATAAAAGGAGATGAGATTCAGTGGTCAGAAAAGGTTCCTCTGAGATGACATATGAGGTTAAAAGGCAGATTTAAGCTTCTGAGGTAGGAGCTTCTTATTTCCAAGAACAAAAAAAAACTCAGTAATGCTGGAGAGCAGTCGATGTAGGGAAGAGTGGTAGTAGATGCGATCTGAGAAGCAGTGAAGCTTCAGCCAGGAATGTGGAAGAACAAAGAAGCAAATGAAGGCAGAGGTGGGTATGGTCTGACTAAAGATTTAAATTATCCTTTCAGCAATATTATCTGTCTTTTTTTTTTGAGACAGAGTCTCACTATGTTGCCCTTGGTAGAGTGCATGGCATCACAGCTTACAGCAACTTCAAACTCTTGGGCTTCATGATTCTCTTGCCTCAGCCTCCCAAGTAGCTGGGACTACAGGCGCCCACCACAATGCCTAGCTATTTGTTGTTATTGTTTTTTGTTGTAATTGTTGTTTAGCAGGCCTGGGCTGGGTTCGAACCTGTCAGCCCTGGTGTATGTGACTGGCACCCTAACTCCTGAGCTACAGGCGCCGAGCCAATATTATCTGTCTTATCTTACCCTTATTTAGTAAAACTCTGGTTATAAGTAATTCCAGTTATCTTTTTTTTTTAAGCCTGCAAGTAAAGCTAATGTAATGGATGAATCGAATGTACTATAAATGCATGATCAACATCCTCAAATGGCCTCAGCACCACCAAAAAATGCCTTTCTTTCTTTGGTTTCCATGACTGTCAGTCTTCAGTCTACTCAAAGTATCTATCCTATTCCTCACTCAGCACTCTTAGTAAGTGATCAATTTACTACTTCAGTGAAAACAGAAAACATCGGAGATCAACTCCTTTGCTGGGTTCTGTGGCTCACACCTATTATCTCAGCTACTCGGGAGGCTGAGGTGGGAAGATCACCCAAGCCCAGAAGTTCCAGGCAGCACGGAACTATGATCATATCATTACACTCCAGCCTAGGCCACAGAGTGAGACTTTGTCTCTAATTAAAAGAAAAAGAAAGAAACTCCCTTCCTCATCTTCCCTACAAAACCCAGTATCTGCTGCTGATAAAGATGGCTATTCCTTAATCTAAGGCTAACAATTCTTCATCCTATGTTTGAATCTTCTCTTCCCTTGGCTTCTCAGAAACCTTCTCTCTTAATTATTTTTACACCTTTTTTTTTTTTTTCCTGAGACAGAGGCTCACATGGTCACCCCTGATAGAGTGCCATGCCATCTTTGCTCCCAGCAACCTTAAAACTCTTTGGCTCAAGTGATCCTCTTGCCTTAGCCTCCCAAGTAGCTGGGACTATAGGTACCCGCCACAACGCCTGGCTATTTTGTAGAGACGGGGGTCTCACTCTGGCTCAGGCTGGGCTCGAACCTCTGAGCTTAGGAAATCCACCCACCTCAGCCTCCAAAGTACTGGGATTACAGGCGTGAGCCATCGCACCTGGCTATTTTTATTCTCTTAACTAAGGGTCCTCAAACTTTTTGAATAGGGGGCCAGTTCACTGTCCCTCAGACCATTGGAGGGCCAGACTGCAGGCCCTGGGATGAGTCAGCTGCTAAGCAGGACAAGGGAGCTGCAGCAAAAACACCCAGCGGGCTGGATTAATGTCCTTGGCGGGCCACATGTGGCCCGCAGGCTGTAGTTTGAGGACGCCTGCTCTTAACTGTTGAGATAATTGGTCTTCCAATTATTTTTAAATAGATTTCTTTCCTATAAAAAAAAAAGACTCATTCCATTCTCACACATAGACCTCCCACCTCAAAGTATTATCTGGTCTGGTGCTGGCCCACAAATTAGTGCTCTATGAAATAAGTATGAAAGTTGACCAAGAACTGAGAAACTTTTATAGAAATTTGACATCAATTAATCCTATGTTTGTTTAATCATAAAATGCATAAACATATTAGTATGTCACTTTAAATTTTGATTTTCTAATAATTACTTTTACTGTTTTTGTAAATTATTAATTTATGATGAATTGGAAATTTTTTTAAAAACTCTAAAAGATCTTCACCACAATAGTTTGTTTTCTAGCGTCCTTCCTTACTCCTCACAAAACAACTGCCCAAAGAAATTATACTGTGTTCTTTACTACTTCTCATCCTATTCAGCTGTCAACTCACTCAAATCTGCATTATGCTCTCATGGATGAATAGAAACAAGTTACCCCATTTGTTATGGGCTAAATTGCATACCACACCAAATCCTTACTTTGAAGTTTTAACCCCCTACTGCCACAAAATGTGACTATATTTGGTAATTAAGGTTAAATGAGATCATTAAGGTGAGTCCTAATGCAATATAATATTTGTACGCGGAGACACAGCGCAGACATGTGCACATCAGAGGGACAGCCCTGGGGACACAGAAAGAAGGCAACCATCTACAAGCCAAAAGATGCCACAAAAGAAACCAGATCTGCCAGCAACTTGGACTGGCATTCTTGGGCTTCTAGCCTCCAGAACGTTGAGAAAATAAATGGCTATTGTTTAAGCCACCCATTCTGGTATTTTGTTTTGGCAACCCTAGCAAATTAATACACCGTATCACTAAAGCTAACAATAGTATTCTATGAAACTAGATATTTTCTAGTTCTCATCTTGGTCGATCTGTTTTTTTGGTTTTTTTTTTTTTTTTTATTGAATGGTTAACTATGTACATTAATGCACTTCTGGGGTACAGTTAACTATGTACATTAATGCACTTCTGGGGTACAGTGTGGGGTTTTCACACACAATCCGAAACATTTCCATCACGATCTGTTTTTTTAGTAGTAGTTGGCATTTTGACCCTTCCCTACCCTTGTTGAGACTTTCTCTTTCCTTGGTTTCTAAGACACTAAAAACCTTACTGCTTTTCTTCCTCCCTTTTAAGCAAATTTTTCTATCTTATTTGCAGGTTTATCCTCTCCTACCAGCTTTAAATATTAGGTTTGATTGCAGGTCACCTTATCATTTTTATCTATGTTATCTCCCTTCTGTGACCTAGTCACACACATGGCTTACACATACATCTCCCAATCTTTACTTAGTATCTTCCTCCACTTAGATAATTCAGTGAACTTAATCTTTTGTCCAAAATTGGACTTAATGATCTTTTCAACTAAATCCTGTCCTCTTTTAGCATTCCCTTTTTTAATGTAGGGTGTCCATTCATCTGTTTTTCTAAGCCAGAAATCTGAGAGTCATCCTTCTCCATCATCGCCCCCCATATGTAATCAATTCACCAAGTCTTTATCAATTTTACTGCTCCCATTCCTCTTAATTCTTTCACTTTTCTCCACTGCCATATTCTTAGCCCAAATTACCTTCCTTTCCTACTACTCTATCTCCTATCAAGCCTGTCCCCACATCCTCCCTTCTTCCTCTCCACTGTCATCTACTGCAGGTTATCTTTCTGCACTGCAAATCTAATCAGGTCACTACCCTACCTCAAACACCTCCACAACTTCCCACTACTCTTAGGATAAAAATTAAACAAGTCAGGCACACTCAGGCCCCTATGGACTTCTCCAGTGACATCTCATATCTTATTTTCCGTGTTCTTGCCACTTTTATTTCTTTGTGGCATCAAAACCTGCCAAAGGAGCCATGCATAGGAATACTCTTCCTTTTTTTTTTTTTTTTTAAGACAGAGCCTCAAGCTGTCGACCTGGGTAGAGTGCTATGGTGTATAGCTCATAGCAACCTCTAATTGCTGGGCCTAAGTGATTCTCTTGCCTCAGCCTCCCAAGTAGCTGGGACTACAGGCGCCCGCCACAATGCCCGGCTATTTTTGGTTGTAGTTGTCATTGTTGTTTGGTGGGCCCAGGCTGGAATCAAACCTGCCAGCTCTGGTGTATGTGGCTGGCGCCTTTGCGCCTTGAGCTACAGGGGCCAACCCTAGAAACATTCTTCTTCATGAAATTCATCCCCCTTAACTCCTCTATTTCCTCAGGTATCAGCTCATCTATAATGACAAATAAAAACAGAAACAAGGCAAATATCCAAAAATGGAGACTAGATAATAAAGTATGTGATAAATCTATTTTAATGTGGCTATTAAAATTATTTTGTGGTTCAGCACCTGTGGCTCAAGTAGCTAAGGCACCAGCCACATATACCTAAGGTAGCAGGTTCAAATCCAGCCCGGGCCCACCAAAAAACAATGACGGCTGCAACCAAAAAATAGCCAGGCGTTGTGGCGGGTGCCTGTGGTCCCAGCTACTTGGGAGGATGAGGCAAGAGACTCGCTTGAGCCCAGGAGTTGGAGGTTGCTGTGAGCTGTGATGCCACAGCACTCTACCTAGGGCAATAGCTTGAGGCTCTGTCTCCAAAAAAAAATTATTTTGTAAAACATTCAATAACAAGAAAAGTTATGCAGGGTATATTAAATGAATAAAGTTAAGTTTTAGTATGATCCTATTTTTTGCTTAAGCAAGTATCAAAATACACATATAGAAACCTACTCAGGTTTCCCACAGGAAAAAAGACTAGGAAACAAAACATACTAAAATACTGTAGTTATTAACAGTGGTGTTTTCTTTTTGTTTATTTGCTTTCTAAATATTTAGTCTGCTTTTCATAATATAAAAAAAAAAAGGAAAAAAGAATAGTTTGAATGATGACATTTACAGGGGAAAAAAAAGATGTATTTTGGCTGTAGTATACTGTCAGGTAGTTTTCAACCTAGACTGATGCTTATGAGAATTACCTACTATTAACTTTTAAATGTGAGGTCGCCATCTTCAAATTCATTTTGGCATAACACTATAATGTTATCTTAATTTGAAAACTTTCATTTACTAGGAAGATTTTAACAATTTCAAAGATCAAAGATTTGACATACTCAAGTATTTTAAGACTATGTAACAGAAGAGACTAGAAAAAAATGTTTGATTAATCACCTGGCTTCATGCTGGCATTAATAGGTCTGGCAGCTGCTGTAGCCATCTGTTCCCATCGAGGATCTTGATAACTCATTTTACTAATGAATTCAATTGCTGCTTCTATACTTCTGTTATTAGTTTTCTGAAGAGCTTGTATAACCATGTCCTGATATGAAATTTAAAAAAAAGAAACAAAATTTAAATTTTATAATTAACACCTGGAAAAGAACCTGGAGTTCCACTAGAGAAATTCATAATTATGAAGAACAGGGCCCCCACTATATTATAGTTTTGTCTTATAACTAGTAGAAAAAAAATCTCAAATTACTAAAGAAAACAAACCTTAAAATATTTTAAGAGTTTCTTTAATATTTTCTTGTTTATGTAACATTACTATTTTCTCCTAGGAATAAATTCTTCCATATGGTACAATCATGATCCTGTTATTTCTCCTTCTTAACTTTATCTTTATGTAAACAGAGACTATTCAATTGTTTAAAAAGGTATCAATCAAAATATTAGAAACTACATTTTCTATCATACAAGCATTTGATTAAGCACTTTCGCCATTGTGTATACTAACAAAAGAACTATGTAGTTCTGGTTCTATTCCTCTTAGAGTTTTCATTTTCAGATAACTACATTTACAGGGATGCAAATAAAGGACAAATGGTACAAGAAAATACCTAGAGTAAATATGACCCGTGATGGAAGACTTTACGAGATTAGATAGTAAAGTCTTGATGATGGAAAACCAAGGACTTGAAGTCAGACAGATCTGAATTTGAGTTATAGCACCTCTACTTTAGAACTATCAGAACTTTGACATGTTATTTAATATTTCTGAGCCTTGGTTTCTTTTACTGTAATAAACTCACATAGTTGATGTAAGGATTAAATAAGAAAACATTTAAAGCAAGCTCGGCACCTGTAGTTCAAGTGGCTAAGGCGCCAGCCATGCACTCCAGAGCTGGCAGGTTTGAATCCAGCCCAGACCTGCCAAACAATGAAAACTACAACCAAAAAATAGCTGGGCGTTATGACAGGCACCTGTAGTCCCAGCTACTTGGGAGGATGAGGCAAGAGACTCGCTTGAGCCCAGGAGTTGGAGGTTGCTGTGAGCTGTGATGCCACAGCACTCTACCTAGGG